TCCAACCTCAACCATCTAGTGACTCTACAATGTATTATATTACTGATAGCACCACTGGAGAAACTATGAAGTTATTAGACCAAGTTGTTAGACATGCACCATGATTACTTATCAATAAATATAAAACCTGACCTCCAAACAAAGAGTACCTTAATAAAGTTTACAGAGTTATCTACGTTTTGTAACCTGCCTCTTACAGTCAACTTAGCAATGAATTCTTAGGCCAATATTTTAAATATTCTTTAACAAATACATAATAAAATATTCTTAATTGTGCTTATCTGCAAATTTAGTATTCAAAGTCTCAAGGCAAGTATATATATATTTGTAACAATATGTTATTTCTTACATTCATTTATTAATTAATTTTTACAAAATATTGAGGAACATTTTTAATAGAGTAATTTAAAAATAAAGCTATGTAATAGCTTTTGAGGGAAGGTGGATTAGAGAGGTGACTGTAGAAATATACATATGTATGTTTACTTTGTGGACTTTGTGCAAGTTCATAGCCTTAAGTGAAACCCATAAATTAGAAAAGTTGTGCAAGTCCATGTCCTTCTTATGTTGGGGGCCCCAGAGCTCGATGCAGTGTTCCAGCTGGGGTCTCACAAGAACAGAGTACAGGGGGAGAATCACCTCCCTCGACCTGCTGGTCACACTTCTTTTGATGCAGCCCAGGACACGGTTGGCTTTCTGGGTTGCAAGCACACATTGCCAGCTCATGTTCAGCTTCTCATCAACCAACACCCCCAAGTCTTTCTCTTCTCTCAATCCATTCTCCTCCCAGCCTGTATTTATGATTGAGATCACCCCAACCCATGAGCAGGACCTTGTACTTGGCCTTGTTGAACATCATGAAGTTTGCATTGGCCCACCTTTCCAGCCTGTCAAGGTCCCTCTGGATGGCATCCCTTCCCTCCAGTGTCTCCACCATACCACACAGCTTGGTGTCATTGGCAAACTTGCTGAGGGTGCGCTCAATCCCACTGTCCATGTCTCTGACAAAGATGTTAAACAACACTGGTCCCAATACTGACTTCTGATGAACACCACTCATCACCGGTCTCCACTTGGACATCAAGCTGTTGACCACTCTTTGAGTGCAACCATCCAGCCAAGTCCTTATCCATTGAGTGGTCCATCCATCAAATCCATGTCTCTCCAATTTAGAGAGAAGGATGTTGTGTGGGACTGTGTCAAAGGCTTCATACAAGTCCAGGTAGATGATGTCAGTTGCTCTTTCCTTATCCACCAATGCTATAACTCCATCATAGAAGGCCATCAAATTTGTCAGGCACAATTTGCCCTCAGCGTAGCCATGTTGGCTGTCACCAATCACCTTCTTATTGCTCTGTCTTATCACTGTGCCTTAGCATAGTTTCCTGGAGGATTTGCTCCATGATCTTGCTGGGCACAGAGGTGAGACTGACCTGAACTGCAGTTCCCTGGGTATTCCTTTTCTCCCCTTTCTAAAAACAGGGGGGTATGTTTCCCCTTTTCCAGTCAGTGGGAACCAGATTGCCACCACTTCTCAAATATGATGGACAGTGGCATGGCAACTTCATGCGATAGTTCCCTCAGGATCCACGGATGCATCTCATCAGGTCCCATGGACTTGTGCACCTTCAGGTTCCTTAGCTGGTCTTGAACCTGATCTTCTCCTACAGTGGGTGGTTCTTCCTTCTCCCATTCTCTGCCTTTGCCTTCTGTGACTTGGACAGTGCGGCTTGCTCACTTGAAGACATCTGAGAATACAATACAGACTTTTCCCCAAGAAAATCATACACCTTTGTTTACAAATGATAAAGAGCCAAATCTTGTATGTAAGTACTAAGCTACACTCAAGAATAAACTAAATCACCTTATTTAAAGATAAATCGTATTCATTCTGGCAAAACATCAGAATACATATTTGATTACTAAAGTAACCAGGAAAATTACTTGTTAATAGCTATGTAATAATTATATTCAATTTATTAAACAGTATTTAACCAAAAAAAAGAGCCAAACAACACACATAATCTCTAGGTACTCAAAACCTCAGTTTTGCCTGTATTTGTTACTCCCCTGGCACTTCTCATGAGCTGAAGGATTATTCCAGAATACACCTTGGTTCTTTAGATCCTTTTATATCCACTAGTGAGTCTAAGTACCCCTGTTCTTCCTTCTTAACTCGCAGCTCGTTCTCCTGTCCTGTGCACCCTGCTGGAGCAAGAAGCAGTGTACCTATCTACAGAGTCATATTGTAGAACTGATTGGATTGAAGGAAAACAGCCAAAAAATCCAAAAGCTTCTTGTGATGGGTTCTATTTGTTCTCAGGTTTCTGAAGGGAGTGACTAGATCAGGTGTCATGTCCTGAAGGAGGATGGTAATACCACACTTCCCTTGGAATCAAGTAAGTTGGCTAAGAAAAAAGATCTAAGAAACTGTCAGGTATAGCAGACAGGATAAGTCATGGGTAGGAGATGGAGCTTCCAGCACAAACAGACTGCTGAAGGGATAAGGAGCTGACAGGGCTCAGAGATGATGCAAGAGACCCCCCTAGTTTGCTGCAATTGACAAAAATCACTGAGTTAGATTAAGCTAGGCCTGGAATGTTTATTCACCCAGAGGTCTGAAAAGAATCTGCTATGTTCCTGTCACATTTCTTTCCCAATTTTTTTTTTTTTTTTTTTTTGCCTAAGTTGTCGAGTTCATTACATAGCTACTACAACAACAATTTACTGGCATGTGCAGGAGGCAGAAATGAATAGACTGCAGAGAAGAGGAGAAGAGTTTGAATTTGAATTTAATATCTTATGTCTCTATTCCATTTCCATTCTCTGTAACCTGAATCAAATCATAAAAAATGTGACTAATTGTACTTTTTTGATGTCACACTCTGAGCACTCAAATAACAGATAAGAAAATTATACAAATATATTACTACCATAACTATTATGTACTCTGTTATAAATGTTGCATTGATATACAACTATGTAGACATATACACTATAAATGAAAGGATTCTTAAAGATCCCTTAAACAGCAAGCCTTATTGATTTTTTTGCTCAAGGGCCTTTCTATCATAGTTCATCCTGACACATTCAGACCGCATAAGTATTACTCTGTGTGTATTTTCTTTTCAAGATCAGTGAAGGGGCTGAGGAGAGAGAACTCAAACATCCTCACAACTGAAACACAGACATAAAGGTCAAAACCACTTTTTATTTTAAAGTATTCACTATCAGCTATCTAACATCCAACTTCTGGGTATACCTAGCAAGATACATATATAGCCAGAGCTCCCACTGAATTTAGCTATATACTAAAATTTTACATTTCTGGAAATCAGGCCTCAAAAGTCAAAGTCAGATACCCTGAAAATGAGGAACAGAAAGTAATTAACAGTCTGTGAAAAATCTAGTTTAAGTTATTCGCCTGACATCACAGAGGAACTTTAGGGCAAAAGGAAAATGAGTGCCTTGGGAGCATTCGACAGCCTTAGAGATGACCATGCTTTTCTTGCCTGCACTCTCAGTGCTTACCATTACACATCTTCCAATGTCAGCAATAACAAAAGCAGTGATTGATTTCAAGCTCTAGGATTTAGCATCACAAATTTACATTCAGGTGTTACCTCCCAACTTGCATTAAGAAAGAAAATTCTATTTTATTGATTATAATAATCCTCTTCCTCTCCTATCTGAACAATAACTTGCAAATCTTCCTTCTTAAAGTAGAAGAGACTAAAAGTATAAAAAGTAGAAAAGCTCCAGAAAAAAAATAGAAACAAACATTGTCAAAAAATATGGATTAAGTTTGCATGGTGTTGTGCTCCTTACAGGCAATTACCCTCTGCCTGTGTCAAAAGGGCTCTGGGAGCAGAAAGGACAAGGCATTTGCAGACCGTTTAACTCATGATTTGTGAGAAACAGCTGGCAGTGAATACATGCCTGACTGGTTGTGATGTAATCAAACCATGAATAAGAGACGCTCCTGAACGGAACTAATGTCCTGGCAACACTTTACATTCACACAGCACCATATGAAGTGCCAGGACACCGGATCTGAGCATTAGCTCCCTATTCCCACAGGGCAGGAATTCCAGCACTGCACCCTGATTTACAAAGGGTCTTTTATGTGTGAATGCAAGCTTCTTTTAACATATTGAACATATTTTAAATATTTTTTTTTAAATCAGAAGCTGTTTTCAGAGATGCACAGAAAATCAGGAACAATAAAATAACAATTTGCACAAGTAAATTTTAAAATTTTATATTTGCAGCCTTCGTATCGTCTCAGTACTGGATCTTTAGATGAAATTTTCTGGATTTCCAAATAAAAGACACCACAGGCCTGATACATACTGTTGTGTGATGTCATATTGGACATCCTACATAAGAAAGAAGCATGGTTCAGAAATGCTAGGGCAAGCCAAGACCCATCCCAGCTATTCCAGCTGCATTCATGGCATGTACATGCATGAAGGCTTTTGTCCTTCCAACTTAATATCTTATTAAATGGTTTAATTAATCATTAAAATAGTACTCCTTCATGCTTTCAGTTGTAGTGTTGATGTGGGCATATGAACTGATTCTGTCTGCACCCCCCAGCATAAACATATAAAAAACACACGCAACAGTCACTGAAATTATTAGATCTATCACGTGGACCTCAACCATTAGAAGTGTTAGCAGTGGAAAAACAACAGCCTTCGTATGGTTCAAATCTATGAGCCATTTCTCTTCTCAGGAATGGGATGTGGACCGAACTGTACAGAAAAACTACATACACTGTATTTCATATAACCGGTGGTCAAATACTGTAGTAAAAACCTACACAGAAAGGTGTAGTGTAAAATTACCACATCTTCTATTAAAAGTAAAATGACAGTTAAAAACCCAGAACTGCAACCTTTTTTTAAAAAATACATAAAATAATATTTTTCATAATTTAGAAAAAATTATCAGCAATATCACTGTGATTGGTTTGGAAATGAATTTAAGAAACTTACCATTTCTAAGGCCATAATACGTTCCTAAAAATAAAGTACAAAAAATCATTAGAAAGTAAAGAATACAAATGCAACATAAGTTGAACAATGATGAAAAGAATTAATTTTGTTTTATTTTGCTGGCTGTATATACGGTATTTTGCAAAAATCTCACTGAATAGGAACTGCTGTACTTACCTGGACCTCTGACCCATTTATCATACTATCTCACTTAGAAATTTGTTCCAAAGAAAGTAAACTCCCCAGAAACAAGGTAAGAAAGAATTTGAAAAAATTAAAAGTACTGTTAGATTTTCAATATTGTTTATTTTACTTTTATGTATCCCAAAGTTTGATTTCTTTTTTTTTAATAACCTGTGACTGTAAATCTAGCATGTTTTGGAGTTCATGTCACATTAGCATCTGGTTTAGTTTTCTTTTTGGCATTTCCTTAGAAAACTAAAAAGTAAATTCCATATCATTATTTTGTTATCCAGAAATAGCTCTGAAGAATGTTTTATTAATAACAAGATGACATAGTCAAAGTCTAATGTCCGACAAAAAAAATACAAATAAAATAAGCTTGTGTCAGTTTTAATTCAGCACAAAATATGGAGAACCCAGAATTTATAAATTTACTGTATCTATTTTAACATTCAGTTTCCATTTAAAAGTACCTTTAAGAAAAATATTAAGTTAACAAAATCAAGATCATGTACTCTGGCACTATATCCTGACTAGGTATGATATTTTAAGTAGTCTGAGAAAACACACCTTCAAGTGTTTAGGTGAGCCCACATTTACCGTACCTGACCATTAAGACATTAGAGGAACTCTTACCTTGCTCAAATATTACCTTTTGGAAGTATGGAAGAGGATTTTTTTTTTTTCCTTTCTGGATGGATTAGGGTATGAATCCTTATACTTTTTCATGTTCTATGTCTCTCTAACAAGTAAAAATTATTGTAATAATCTGGATTTATTCCTGCAGCATCCAAAGACAGTTAGACAAGTCTGAACTGATTTCACCATTTTGGAAGCAACAGGTACAACAAAAATTTCTTAGACCAATGGAAGAACTGGGAGCCAGAAACAGCTCCTTCCATTTGCAAGAATGCAAAAGTATTTTTCTTTTTTTAAAACTAGGTGGAAATGAATCAAAAGGACTCTTCTAGAGTTATTACTGTCTTAAAAAACTTTAAAATAATGGTTATGTTTACTAACTGAACAGGTGTAAGCATTTGTGTACAACCAGTATTTACATTTGTGTATTTAGGTATTTGTGTAAAACCAGTGTCCCTTGGATTACTAAAGGGGTAACTTTTATTCATATAATCTTTTAAAGAAAGTACTATTTTAATTGCTAGTGGTCCTTAATTTGACAAACAATTACCTTCCAGCAACCTACTTCAATGAACACCCTCATACATTAACCAACTATACACGTGCTTTGCTGAACTGAGGCTCAGAAGAAACAAATATTCCATGTCACCTGGTTAACAAAAGGATAAGAGTGCCAGTTTCAGCTCTGGGAAATGCCAAATTTAAACCAACTCTCACTTTCCTCTTACTTCCTGTGCTTTACATATTGAGATGCAACAGCTTGGGGACATTCAGTCATGATGACACAAGTTGGTTTTTACAACTATTTGCTAGTAAAGTTGTATGTAATCAGACACTGCAAGTTTAGAATACCACATTACAAGAACAGAGGATCCCAGGCTGGGAACACTTTGAAACATATTGATTAAGCCGGACATAGTACTATCTAGAAAAATAATAGATGTTTTTGATGAGTATTCTGGCTGTGAAAGCATGGGCTTTTCAAAGATTGAAAAACTGCTATCAAGCATTTGAATACAAAAATAGCAGTCAGAGTAGTACAAGTCACACACTTAACCAGAACCGTCAGTTAGGGAAAGGGATAAAGCAATTTAACAGGGAACTTGACAGACCATCAGAAATACAGGCAAGCACATATATGCACACAAGACGCTATTATGATGCAACTTTCCGCTGTATAAAATTACCCCTCATTCAATCAGAAGTAACATAATTAGAACAATTTGTCAACTGCAGAGCTTCACATTAAAGCAGACGCAGAATTGCTTCACATGAAAGGAGATCTTTTTACATTGATGTAACTAGATATGCACCTGTGTAAACTGCTTGCGCAGACAAGCTCTCAGCCTTGTTGAACTTGAGCTGCCAAAAAACGAGGCCAAGATTTTTGTTTGAACAGGAAACAGCTGGATTGGTGTGTTGTTTAACTTTCGGGTCTTGCAACTCCTCTCTTCTTACTGGATCAAACTGTTTCTACACTAACTCTGATACCTTTAGCCCTCAAAGTGCCTTCTATCTACTACATGAGAAGAAAAGTCTTATCTTTAAACAAACTCCTATGGTCAAAACTCAGGTCAATACATAATTTCATTTTCCTTAACAGTCTTACCTTCATTAATTCCCTCATAAACATCCTGCTTCCAGTACACTTATAGAATGGTGCTTCATTGATACACTCTTCATATTGTATCTAAACCTTTTTATATTCATGTTGGGTATTGTTTGCTGCAATTTGTTGTTAAAATTTTTTTTTTCCTTCTGTATTCGGAAGAATACATACACTACCCTCCCTAATAACCTCTCCAGCCTGACAATTTACACATTCCAGCTTGATTTTGCTTTCCTAGCTATTTTCACTTCTGAGGAGCATGTTCTCTTTGACTGTAAGGCTTAAATACTATTCCAAAGCTGAGCCTAGGGTAAATCTTACCTTCCAAGAACAAATTTGAAATGCTTAGCACAAGCAGCTTAACTGGTAGATACCATACGAGGATTTACTATATTGCTATCAAGTCCTAGCATGTATCAGCTGGTCCCTTCTTCCTCAAGGAGGTGATTATGGACATGTTCTGTTTCAGAGATTTAATACTTACTTTAAAATCTTTTACTTTCAGTTTTATTCAGAGATACAGAAGAAAACAACACAGGCCAGAAAACCTAACCCAACCAATGAAGTAGAATATAAAAGCATTTTTTTGCATTTCTGAATGCAGATTTGCACTGCCTCTATTTAATTACAGCTTCAGTCAAGCCAACAGTATACCATAACAGAACAACTTCAGCATATGGTGTGGCTTAAAAGCAGCATTCTTTTCACTGATGGACTAGACTTACTGACTAATAGGAGAATGCTGACTACTTGAATCTTCTCTAATGTGCAATTTAATTGGTGGGCAGGAACTCAGCAGTGAGTACTAGTAGCTCTCAGGTCTGTATTTGGCTGCACATATTTCCAAGGCTGAATTTAAGATATAAGGGAATTCAGAAAATCGTAGCATTATAATACAACTTAGTAATTTTAAGGGTGACAAAAAGTGTAGCTAGTTAATAAATCAAAAGTATACCTGGAGAGCTCCCATTTCTTCCTCTCTTCTGAGAGTCTTCTCTAGTAGATCTGTAAAATGAAAAATTGAACTTGTAAATTCATCTTGCTGTCTTGTGGCCTGACAGAAAAAGTACTGTGTAAAATAGTGGGGTTTTTGTTTCACAGCTTTCACCACATTCCTTTTCAGCTGATTAAACTAATTGATGAAATTTGTCAGTGAAATGATTTTTTCACAAGCATGGGCTGTTGAGGTGACTAAAGAACAGCCATTAGAAGATACTTCAACTGGGGGAAAAAAAAGCATTCAAATTCACAGAAAAACTTGCCTATGCCTAAATCAATCTCTTCGTGTATTTTAACAATTGAGTGAAAAAAAAAATCAGAGATCCACTCTGAAAATTGATTAGAACAGAAGTAGATCATCAAAGCAATTATATATGAAAAGTTACTCTAGGTTACATTTTTAACAATCAAGTAACATCCGAGTGGGAAAACAGTGCAGATTATTATTATTATTAACTATTATCAGAATTACCTTCTCTCACTAAAATGGAACAATTTTGATAATGGAAATAGCCAGTTCACTGCAACAAATATATTAGAAAAGTTTTTTATAGTCTCTACACCATAAAATCCGACTATTTTATATTCACTTGTGTGACAACTATATACATTGGCACATACATGCACATTTGTAACATTTCATGTTAGAAATTAATTTATTTTTGAGTTTTGTGGGATATGTCACATCAGTTGCTTTTCTATTTTATTTCATTCACAGATTTTTATGGTGAAAATTATGTTTTTGATCAAGTTCATCATATTTAGAATTCTGGGAAACCTTAAAGTTATAACCTCATGGAGAGCAGGAAAAATAAAAAACATGCTGTAGGCTTATCACTAATTTAACAATCAGAAGTTCACTCATGAGTTTTGCATGAGAAGAGCATTGCTTTAACCAAGCCAGAGACCAGCTTTGAATGAAGATATGCTCCAGTTTGAGTTATGAGATTATGAAATTGCCTTGACAACCTCATAGGACTGAATTCTGACTGTTAATTCCCTCAGCATCCAAGTACAGAACAGCTAACTGAAAGTACCCATGTATACTTTCTTAAGAAAGATGACTGATAAATGCACAGTTCACTTATCAAAGATTAGCTTAAATATACATACATAAATATATGTAAATATACAATAAAAACTACTTAAAGCATTCTACTGACACAAATTTGCTTTCTTTATTTCTCTAATCTTTTGTCTTTCTCCTTTCTCTCATTATGAAGCCTCTTTGTGAGCACTCTAACCTGTTACCTCTTTTCTCATAGTTCATTATCCATTTCTGACTGCACACAAGTTGAGATTTATTTTCAGACACTAGTCCTTTAAAAGGGATGTAGATAACATGCACAAAATTTTAGTTATTTCCTTCACAAGTAGGGAGCTTGACTTGATGTTCTTTCTTACTTGCTTCTATGCAGTTTTTTCAAACCCTTTCTTAAAATAAATAAAATTACTGTTTCTTCACTTTCTTTTGGCACATTCATGTTTTTCTGGATTATTCATTGGTATGCTTTCCAGTACAGTGACTCAACTGCCATATAAATTACTGTAGTTAAATGTGCTGCCATCAACATTAGTTAGTGTGAGAATTTGGGTTTGGAAAGTGGCTGCCCTGTATGTTTTCCTTGGGTGTATTCCAGTATTGTAACTGAGTTGGTATTACAAGTATTGTAATACTAGCTTTTTAAAAAAATGAGGAGGGAGGAATAAGTTTATGAGAAAGGGATGGAAAATGAAAGATTCCTCCCCACATTCCATCTGACCAAGAAGACTCTTATATATCACTTTGCTTTATTTTAATTCTAATGCAATATTTGAGATTCTGTTGTACAGACATGGTTGTTCTAAGTGAAAAGGATGTTATTACAAGGTTGTTTTCAAAGGCCTTTTATAAAGGTAAGGTAAATTGAGCTAATTTCTGCTAATAGCTTCTAGATTTGAAACATCTGCATCTGAAGTTAAGAATATCTAGAATCCATTTACTTTATTGTACCACTGCCTAAACTGGCTGTCCTGCAGGATGCTTCATAAAACTCTGTCCCCAGAAGGGCAGGTAGGTATTGAGGTGGTGTTATTTAACTGATAATATATACCTACTTTACAGAATTGCCCTTTATTACCATATATTTAAGAACCAAGTCCTGCATTTAAACTGATTATTCCATTTAATACTCCATCTAAAATAATAGCATGTTTCCTCCAAAGCTAAAGTGAAAAAAAAAGTAATACATATTAAACAGCTTTACACAAAGTCCCATGCAAAATACAGCATATTGTATCATTCTTTTAAACACTGCTATTCATAATGACAGAATATCTTTGCTTACTTGATCTGAAAAGCTGTTGATTTGTTTTATAATTTGTAAAACACTTCCTATATTTACATATATATATATAATAATATATATTGCTATGCATATAATATAGCAAAGATGGTCACTAGCCCTATTAGAAGCTCCTTTATTCATCTTGTGAACACTATCTACATTCCTCTAATTATAACATTCTTTCCAAAAGAAAGTTGCACAGTGGCATGACTTTCTACCTTTGGGAACAATCCTGCTATGATCATCTTTCAAGGCCTAATGTAACTACAGTGTTCTTGGTTTTTTTCAAAGCAATATATCATTATTCTCATGGGGCACAGAACACATCAATTTATAGATTATCTAGAAGAATCGGCATTAATGAAAAAGCATTACAAAGGCACCTTCAGGCACTGATGGTTCCTTCCAAAGGATGAATAATACACAGAAAAAGACAACAAGATAAATTACTTTTAGAAATAAAGATATTAATCAACATATTTCCTTTTTTTAAATTTTATCTCAGTATTGAAGTTTACAATCCTATAATGAACTATAAGCTAAAACTATTTTTAAAAAATCAAACATGTTTCATTTGTTCAATACCGCTCAAAATTAACAGCAAGTTCATACTATTGTCTGCAAAATCAGGGATAGTACTTTTGTGTAGTTATACAAAAATAATTCATTTACAGTGGTCAAGCTGCAAATCACCTAACGTTTCTATCTCATTTAGCTATGCATCAGTGAACACCAACTGGGTGTCCTTGCAGTTATACCACAGAGGCGTAGATTTATATGATCAATTCTCTAGGGAATAAACAGGTTATGATATAAAACATTCCCTAAGAATCATTCTCTTTTGCAGTTTGCCTGACACTGAAACAACATATTATGTTGCAAAATATTGCAAATATTAACCTGGAGATGATGGTTTTATATTCCATCTTAATTGTCAGACAAGCGAGGAAAAAAGGTATGTAGTTAATTAGACAGACTTTTTTCACAAACACACAGCCCCTACACACACACATCCAAGTTGTAATTTTCATTGCTGGTGAAAAGTATCAGAAAATAGATTTAGGAGCAGATATTTATTGACTGGAATAAGTAAAATACAACTGTACTATGTAATTTAGCCTAGCTGATCCATTAATGTGCCAATAACTAAACCCTGTGAGGTTAAAAAGCAGTTTAACTCCTTTACTTCTACTTTCGGAGTAACAAAGCTGGGAAACAGGACATTGACTTTATATGACCTGGAGTAAGCAACTTCCTAAAATTTGAACTAAAAATCACATATTTATTTCAGAAAGAACACTGAACAGCCTTCATTCATTAAGTAGGAACTGGATTTTAAATACTGCATGACCTCCCATTTTAAGAAACTGAAGACAGTGATAGACCACATTCTACTTCTCTTCTCTGTGAAGATTGCAGTGCCAGAAAAAAGTCAACAAATTGGATCAATATCAGATTTGTATGTTCACCACTAAGAATTCAAATTTCGTACCTGCTAATTCACAACTTGCTCTAGCAAAGGGGAATGCACAAGTACAGAACTGTACACAAGATCAATTCTTATAGTCACAGATATCTAGTCATATAGTGAAAAACTATAGTGAAAAAAGTGTGATTCAAATTATTCTGAAGTTGACATTTAGACTTCAATTCAGTTCTGTATACATAGCTAATATGCTGTAGACTATCCAAGATACCTGCAAGCTGCCAGCAGATCCAACTCAAGACCCTCACTCCACTGAAGCAGCTGCAGATCACACAGGAAACAGTACAGCAACTCATATAGCACACAAAATACTGATACTATGCAGCATTAAAACAAGAAATCCAGGTTATTACCAGAAAAGAATGGCAGTTTGGAGAAAAGCATCAACATATTTTTTGCATCCTCAAACTAAGAACAATTCTCCAAAACACAAGTAAGGGCTTTCAGTTACACATTAGTAAAATTATTTTTGACTTCCCAAAATTTGCAACCCTAGAAATTTAGGTTTTATGTTACACAAGCATATGAGAAATCACTTAATTAGACACTGATCATTTTATCTTTAAATTTGCTTTGATTAAAATTTGCAGTACATTTATTTCAAGCCTTTCCTATCATTCTCACTTCAAATACACATCCCATGCCTTTCAATCATCATTTGGATGTATTTCCCACAAAGCTGATGAAGAGATACTGCAGCATTCCTGTAGATGCACAAGGGAGCCAAGCAAGTTTCCATCAAGTCTGAAAGAATTTTCAAGCAGCTGAATAAACCAGCTTCTCTCAGATAGAAATTACTTATCTTGCACATGCCTACACAGCAAAGTTTAATCACATATTATACCACTTACAAGTTTTTCCCTTCACACAATTAATATGACATGAAGGCCCTATTTTTGGAGGTGAATTAAACTGGTTCATTTAGAAACAGCTTAAGCAAAATGTTTCAGAATAGATCTATTCATGGCTAGCAGAGACAGAACAACTATAATTTCATCCTGTACCTGTGTTAGTATGATTCTGATGAATGGCCTCACAGTACCGAGACCAAGGTCCAAAACACTCAATACTAAAAGATGTTTCAGTGAGGCTGGACCTTTGTACAGTCAGGCCAGAGATGATAAATCACCCTGGCACTAAACCAACTGAGATGTAAAACAGTATCAGAACTCACTTCAAATGACTCTAATCGA